AATAAGAGTAGACAGTAAGTCTCACTGAGACAGTATGAAACTACTATCTAATGTTAAAACTGTGTAATGAGATCAGTTGAATTAATAATGAGACTATCAAAAAATCTGATTCTGGTCTCAGACACAGTCACACGGTCAGTCTAGAAATCAGAATCAGATTTTTTAATAGTCTTATTATTAATTTGACTGATCTCATTACATGGTTTTAACATTAGATAGTAGTTTTATACTGTCTCAGTAGAACTTACTGTCTACTCTTATCACATTTTCTAAATAAGATTATGATTTTCACTTCTCAATTTAAATTATTTTTATTACTTTAAATGACTTTAAATCTTATTTAAGTGTTATCAAAAAGTGTTACTTTTTAAAAAATTAAAAATAGTCTAAAAAAAACCTTAAAATGTCTAAAAATAGTAACTTTATGTCAAGAATGAGACTAAATGAGATTAAATGAGATCACTTTCTTATTTTTTTCAAGTCATGATTTCATTTTAAGATCTGATATATAGTCACTTTACATGTTTTTTTAATAACTAGTCTCAGTGAGATTTATGTTAAGAAATGTATAAGATCAGATCAAATGAAACTAAACATGAAATTCATGATTTCAGCGGCCAGTCTAGTTATAATCTGAGAGATACTATCATCAGTTATCTGACATTTAAGATTTAAAATTTCAGAGTGATCAGACACTGAGTATTTAAATCTCTATATAATTATTAATTTCTGAATAAATCTGAGAATTATTTCACTGACTCTAGCTTACTATTTCAGTGATTATTTCATAAGTCTGAGAACTCAGAACACTCATCAGAGTTAGAAGATTAAAGAAGAAGAGAGAGAGAGAATTAATAGCAGTAGTAGAGAGACTGATAAGAATTGTAAAGAGAGAAAGAGAATTATCACTATTAACAGATTTCTTATCACTGCTACTCTCATTAACTGTATTACTAAGAAGTTTAACAATTATTTTAAATCAGTTTATTATTTCATATATTTCAATGAAAATACACTGTGCTTTCTCTCTAATACTGTTGATTAAGTTTATAAGATTCTTCATTACTGCTTTTTAACTCTTATAATAATTATTAATCAATCTCAAGATCTTCTGCTGAACAGTAAGCTTTGTATTTTTAATATTCAATTTTTTCTTTTTAATAATAATTTTCTTCTTCATTACAGTAATTTTCTTCTTTTCAATCTTTAATTTCATTCTTTCAATATTCAACTTAATCTTCTTAATTTTAAGTTTGACTTTTTTAGCAGAACTGATAGATATATTTAAGACTTTCAATGTGATAGTTATACTCTTTCTTTTTTAATTTTCTACTTTCTGCTGATGTGTCTTTGCTTTCTTAATTTACTTGAATAAATTCTTCACTGTCTTTAGTATGACTGACTTGACTAATTTCTTCATAACTGTCAGAGTAGTAAGATAAAACTCATGAGTTCAGATCAGGTTTTTAATTTCATCATTGAATTCATCAGAGTATATTATACAATCTTTCTTTTCATGATTGCAGTTTAAATATGACTTTATACTTTCTTCAACTTTGTTGTAAACAGATTCAATATAATGAGAAAAAATATATAAGATGCAGTACTCACATATTATTGACTTACTAGATTTGATAAAAGTATTCAGCCTGCTTACTGTCTCTTTCTCTTGTGCTTTTACTGCTGCTGCACGCGTACACTTGAGAATGTCTTCAGTTATTTTAATGTTGTTACTGCTGCTGTTGTTGCTGCTGTTGTTACTGCTACTACTACTGCTGTTACTGCTGCTGCTGTTACTACTGCTGCTGTTACTACTGCTATTATTGATATTACTGTTATTGATGTTGCTGTTATTACTGTTGCTGTTATTACTGTTACTGTTATTACTGTTACTGTTATTACTGTTACTGTTATTACTGTTACTGTTATTACTGTTACTTCTGCTATTGAATGAAATAATAGATCACTGATATTCTTAGTATACTATGCATATTAGATATCTTGATATTAGAACTTTTGATATTCAAAGCTTTCTATTACAACTGACACAATACTAACCTTGCTGAAGATGAGAAGGGCTGAGTGAACTGAAAAAATTGATATTTGTGTTATGATATAATTGTGAGAAGAAGAAAGAAAGAAAGAAAGAAAAAGAAGATAGTAAGTTATTCTTCTTATATATATTGTTAATTCATCTTTGCAGGTTATCATGCAATGAATGTAAATACTTTTATATTTTATCTCTGAGTGTAATCAGTATATCTGATGAATTTTATTCATATCTTAATACTTTCTACACAGGCTATCACTGAATGAATTACAGCTATTTTGAATATAAAATCATTTCTATTAACTAGAAATAAGTGTTCAACACACTGTTAGAAATATATCTACAGAATTCAAGATTTTCTGATGCAGTGAAATCAGTGAAGTCTTCACAGTCATAACTATACAAATTACAAGATAGAGAATATGACAACTTTTTTCAGTGAATATCAAGACAGGTATATTCTAATTATGTATATTAAAGTATATATTAACTAATTTATATATAAAACACATAGAAAACTAAAAATATTGAAATAGAAATAAGTTGTATCAGAACTCTCTGTGTTGCTGAACACTCTACATTGCAGGCCTGTCTTTTGCTGAAAGTGTATCTGAAAATTTTACCTTTTTCTGCACCTTCTTCTGCGCATCTTTCATCATACATCTTTTTTTAACTGTCAGAGTATTCTGAATTGTCTCTGTAAAATCATCTCTGATAATTTATTGATATTCAGAAATATCACTTATAAGATTTTAAAATGTTAGAATATCTTGCTATTACAGTATAGCTTCAGTGAAATTTTCATTTGTATCAGCATTATCAAATATTTTAACTTGAGTTATCAGATTTGTATATATCTCTATTTTTCAGAATCAGTTTCTTGTTTCTCAGTCTGATGTTTTTCAAACTGATGTTAACTTACATTTCATATATCATTGTTCTTGCTCAGAGAATTGATCAAAGTCAATGATTCTCTGTACTCAGTAAAAAATCAAGAAGAACTTTTCAGCAGTAAATAAATTACAAAAATAGTCAAAGATTGTTGACTCTTCATAGCAGTTATACAATCTGATTATCACTGAACTTTCTTCATTTTGTATCTTCTTCTGTTGAACATGATTCTATATCAATAAATGATTAGTTAAGATGATCAGATAAGTTTTAATATCTCACTGAAAAGTTTAGATTTATCTAAGATTCTCTGCTGAAAAGTTGATATATTTCAGCAGAGGTTTAAGATATCTCATTGAGAGTTTATTATATCTCACTGAAAGTTTGTTATATCTCAGCAGAGGTTTAAGATATTCTGCTGAAAGGTCAAGATATCTTATCAGAGACTTAATATATCGCACTGAAAAGTTGAGATTTTTACTAAGATCTGAAATACTGAAAATACTTGTCTTCATTTCTTTCAATGTTCTTGACTTTCATGTCTTTATTGTATCAAGCATTGTAATTCAGCTTGATGAGAATATGTATGAGATTTTATTCTTTATTTTTATTATCTCTGTGACTGTCTTGTTCAGATTGTTCTTTGAGAATGTAAGAAAATACATTTATCTGATTTTAATATAAAGCTTTTATTCTGTTGACTGAATTTTCTTCTCATACACTTCTGCATCTGAGTGCTGAATTCAGTGATGTCTCTTCAACAGATCACTGAATATTGAGAATGAGTTTGATTTCTTGTCTATCTGATATTCTTCATTGATGTCATTATGTTCATTCTATGATACAGATATATTAATATATGATTTCTTTTAAAATTGATGATTTGTCTCAGTAAACCTATCAGATGAGAGAGTTTGAAGAGATCTATTAAACTGAGATCTATGACTATACTTATTTTCAGAATTTTGATAGAATTTTAATAGTATTCTGATAAAATAATCCGCTACTTGCAGGAATATAATAAAGAAAGTATGATTATTAATATTAAGATAATATTTATCACTGATTGCAGCTCTTATTGATATATCTCTTTTCAGTAATTC